GCTAGCCAGGCGCCTCTATTTCTTTTCTTTTTTTTTTTTTTTTTTAATTTTTCATTTTAAATCTTTCCTGGTACACTCCAAGAAGGTCACACTGAATTTCCATGGAAATGACAGGTCCCGAGTTATAGAGACCTGAGTCCGGAGGTGTGATGGCAGTGATGTTGCTTATCTACTGGGCTGAATCCAGGGCTAGGGGTGGGAGACAGACAGAGAGGAGTGTGTTGGTTTGCTTTGTATTCTTGGGCTGCCGGAGTGAGGGCATAAAAGCCAATCTTTAACTAGTGAATTGGAACTTTAATGTTTACCAAACAGATACAGCTCCCACCCTTTCCCCCCCTACCCCCCACCCCAGCTCCCTCTCCTCCCCTCTTCCCTGCTTGCTCCCTCTTCTGGCTGCTTCCTGGCTTCCTGCTAACTGAACCCAGTTCTCCCCCCTCAGCAGTCCTGGTGAGGAGCCCTTTCTGCTGTCAGAGGAGCAAAGTGCTGGCCACTACTGGCCTTGTCGCCTGGTTTTCCTAATGAGAGTCTCTCCCCAGAGGCCTTACATTTCTAACTTTGGAAACAGATGGGGTCTTCCTTGAAGACAATTGCCTGAAAATTCTGAAAGGCAGGGGTTGGGGGGACTAGGACTAAGCAGCAGGGGCCTATTTTAAGGAATGGAATCCTTCCAAGAGGCCTCCTGTGCACACTTAGGTCCCAGGGAGCTCTCAGAGTGGACCTCTCCAGCCCAGCTCACAGCTCCTGACCTGTCATGCATGCCTTGTCTACAGGCTGTTCTCAGACCAGTGCTCTCATCTGACATAGCTGTCTCCCTCCCAACTCTCTATTCCCAACCTGCCCATATCCCGAACAAAACCCTTGAGCAACGCCTATACCCCACGGTCATCCGGGTCCCCTCTAAAGCAACAGGTAACACTAAAAAAAGAGATAAGTATCCTGGGTTTGGGTAGCAGACCTGGTGCTGGTCCTGGCTTGCCATTTGTTAATTGTGTGACTTTGGACAAATTGCTTTATCTAAGCCTGGGTCTCTTAATCTAAGCCTGTAGGGGATGATCTTGATATCTTCTTCATAGGGTAGTTGTGAAGATAAAATGAGGTAATGCAGATAACATGCTTATTTCATGCCCATCAGATAATAAGTGCTTAAGAAATATTAATTGTTGTTATTGAGCAATTGTCTACCCTACCCACTTTATAATAACCCGCTGTCTTGTATTATTGATGATATTTTTGTTCGTGTGTGTGGCTTCTGTCCCTAACTTGATGGAAAACTCCCAGAGGGGTAGGGATGAGTTTTTCTAATCACTGTATCTGCCAGGATGCCTAGAACAGTGCCCGGCACACACTCAGGAAATATTTGTTGATGGATTGAGAAACTGCCCCATGTGGACTATACCCTACAAATAGTGGAACAAACATCGTACATGGAAGAGAGTGGGCTGGAGAGGGGCAGAAGGTCAGGAATAAGAGATCAAGAGTGCGAGGAAGAAAGGCACCTGGGCAGCTCAGTCCTTTGAGCACCCCGCTCTTGAATATGGTTCAGGTCGTGATCGCAGGGTGGTGGGATTGAGCCCCGAATGGGAGCGTGGAGCCTGCTTAAGATTCTCTCCCTTTCTTCTCTCTCTCCCTCCCCCTCCCTCTGGCCCTTTCCTCCGCTCAATCTCTCTCCCTCTTAAAAAAAAAGTATGAAGAAGAGATGGAAATGAAGAGTTTAGAAAAGTGGGATCACTTTGCCTACATTCTGGCAGAAGACACTGTTCGAAACGACCCTGATGACATTCTAACAAAGTCATGCTGAACCCAAAAACAGTAATCCATATGTGATACTGATCCAGGGATGACTCCATAAGCCATGCTAGGGGCTTTGGTTAGGCTGGTACACAGGGATACTGACCTCTGACTTGTGAGAACAGCCATTGAGGAATGGTTTCTGAGATTCCACTTACTCCAAGAGAAATGTCAGCTCCCCTTCTCAGTCCCCAAATGAGGACACCTTTAGCTCTGTCTCTGTTGTTTTGTTGTTGTTTTTGGTGATAGTGGGGTGTGTGTGTGTGTGTGTGTGTGTGTGTGTGTGTGTGACAACAGTGGGATTGTTTTTCTTGCTGCCAACAGGCTAGCTCTGTAACTTGCTGGGAAACAGAATGGGTTGTCTGCACTATTTTCTCCCCTCTTTTTCTTTTCAGTGAGAAACTGGAGGGCTGGTTTTAATGGATTGATTTTAATGGATTTTGAAGTCTGGAAAAGTGCCCAAATTGCAGAGGTTACCAGTTTTCTAGGTTCTTTTTTCAATTTCTTTCTCCTTAATCAGACATAGAGTTCACTCACTGGGGCACCTAGTGTGGTCAAGTAAGAAGAGGTATCTTTCTGTGCCCCCTCAACCTAACGGGTGGCCATGGACACAGCCTCAATTGGTGAGAACACCCATTATTTGGGTGGGTGAGAGCATTTTGCTTGGTCCCGTCCCTGTATTTGCTAGTGTTAAGTTTTCTCCAATCTCAAAGGAGAGAATTGACCAACAATAATAACACCAGTTCTGCCTTCTGGAATCCACTTTAAAGCATAATTTTATGTGGTCATTTTGTTTTTCACTTTTTTCCACGTGAGTGTGTGTGGGGACAATGTGCCCTGGGAAGTTTGAGCTTCACTCTTGTCTTTTCTCTCTGTCCCTCCTGCTGTAGGCTGTGCCTTTCCTGAGAATTGTGATGAGGTCTTTGAGGCCATGAGTCTCCCTGTGAGGCCTTTGAAGAAAGGACAGGCTTTCCAGGCACTGGAAGGGGACTCTAGGCTATGTTTTAGCTCCACCGTTGTCTTCTCCTCACCCCTCCCATCTCCCAACATACATTCATGTTTCTTTTTGTCCTTTCTCCCAAACTTTACCAACTTGTCTTTGTGATTTCAGAAAAATGCCACTGGATCTCCCAGTATGAAGGATTAGCACAGATTATGGGGAACAGTGTTAATTATCGGTGGAAGGGGGGCTGGCGCGTCGCTCCAATGTGCTCCTGATTTCCCCTGGGCCTTTCTGCCTGGTAATAAGCCTGCTTTAATCTGGCAGGCCCCTTGGTGAAATCAGCACCACGGACAGTGGTATTGATTGCTTCTGAGAAACCATCACAGCTGCTCAACCAAATTACCTTTGATATGTGACCTTTAATGTAATTACTGCAACATCAAAGTATTTCTATAAATTATTAAAGAACTAATACACTCCATCATTTAGCTATTCTATTATATGTAAAATAAACAACCACAAGTTAATGTTAGAATCTGAACAATCCACACTTGCTACTGAAATTCTCCCAGTCCCCGTTCTCTCCCCCTTCAAAATCCTGAGCCTGTCCCTCCCACCTTCTCTTTCTGTTTCCCCATCTAATTCCCAGCTTTTAGCCGTCATGAAACTCCCTGGCAATCTCTCTCAAGCTGATGAAGAGCCTCCCAAAAACAATGTGGTATTTTCTATTCCATTTGGGTGGCTCTAAAATATCTATCACAGTCTCCCCCAAAACAAAGTACCATAAACACTTTATTAATCAGCACAAACCTTTCTCAGAAGCCTTTGATTATCTTACAATATGGCTTTATGCTTCACACATAACATGGGGCGATGTGGAGCATATTTCTGCCATCTTACAGAGGGCACCCAGAAAGTAATTACTATAATATATGTGCATGTAGCGGCGCCACTAAAAAACCAACTGGGGAATGGCCACCGTGCCAGAGCAAGGCTCCACACAAAAACCTGTGCGGTGCATGATTTCCATACATTTACATCCGCGGGTATGTTATTAAGATGACTCAGCCCCGTGCTTTGCAATCACAAGTACCAAAATACAATACAAAGCTGTCTTAATGGAAGGAAGGCCCTCCCCTCCCCTAAATGGGTAAAAAAGGATCTTTGATGCAAGGGAAGGCTGTCCCGACCCAGGGTTGCATTTTCAGTCTACCTGGTTAACCTTTCCCGCTGTGGGCCAGAAATGGAAAGGTGTGTTTACATACAGGTTTGCTTGGTAAGAATGTAAACATGCATGTGTAAACACTGGTGAGCATACATACAGAATACACGTGCTCCCCTGCAGTGTCCATTGTATAAGCTTAAACACGGTATATTTGTAAATTCTTTAAATTATGTCCACAAACACTCACATCTTTCCATTTATCTTTAGATACTCGGTGAGCCGTATATCTAGCCCCCCCCCCCCCATCTCTCTGAACCCACAGGAGAGACCGCGCAGACCCTTGACCCGAGGAACACTTCTTATTTTATGGTGATGAACTAGCCTCGATAATAGCCATGGCTGATATCACACCCAGTTAGGGGGGCCATAAATAATTCTCTTCTCCCCCGCACAGAAGCTATAAACCAGGGCCGAGGCGCGATAGTTTATCAAAGACGAGGGCTGGCTCCTTAAATAAACCGCGGTGATCTCACTTGCGGCGCCGAGCTTGGGCGCGGAGGCGCCCCCTCCCGCCCCGGCCCCCGCCCCCACCCCTGCCCCAGGAACAGCCTGAGTCCGACGTCTATCGGCGGGTGCTCAGGCGGCCCGGCTACCAGGGGCCCCGTGGGGCCGGCGGAGGCAGCTCCGGGTTCCGGGGAACCAGGGCACCCGGCGTCTCCGCCCCGGCTGCCCGAGCGGGCAGTGTGCGGATCAGGGACCCGATCGGAGGCGCCGGGAGGGCCAGGGGAGGAGCCAAGCCCCAGCTCCGTGGTCGTGGCGGAGTTCGCCCCCAGCCCGGGATTCCGTCGGGCCTGGACGGCGGAGTGCGGAGGCCGCCGGGCGAGCGCCGAGCCCGGCGCCCACGCGCCCTCTCCCCCGCGCGGCGCCTCGGGGCTTCTAGGGGCGCGGGGCGCGGGGCGGGAGTGGGGCGAGCGCGAGCTCCCGAGCGAAAGCAGGCGCGCGCCCGGGCCCGCGATCCCCCGGCCAGCAGCGTCGCAGCCCGGCCTCCCGAAGTCGCCCCCTGTCGGCGCGTCCGTCGCTCGCGCCTCGGCAGGCGCCACTTACCCCGGGCAGGGTCTTCTGCTCGTGCAGCGCGCTCTGGGCCTTCAGCGCTGACTCACGCTCGCAGTAGGTGAGGAAAGCGCAGCCTGGGGAGGGAAGGAAGCGCCGAGAAGGGTCAGTGGGGCGCCCCCGGGCCGCCGACGCGCCCTCTCGCCCGCCCTCCAGTCTGGGCCCCTCCCCGCTCTAGGTCCCTCTCCCCACCTCTCTCTCTCTCTCTCTCTCTCTCTCTCTCTCTCTCTCTTTCTCTCTCTCTCTCCCTCTCTTCTTCTCTCTCTCTCTCTCTCTCTCTCTCCTGTGCACTCTACTCGAGCTTTCTTGCCTCTCCGTTTTCCTGTCGGCTTTTTGTCCCTTGCGTTGCTTTTTTGTTTTGCTCACTCGCTGAAGTATCCCCACCCTGCATCTCCCCCCCCCCCACCACGCCCCCTCTTCCCGTGGGTCTCTTTTTGTCCTCTGCCCTGATGCCTCAGGCGCTAGCTCGGCCTTCTCCCTCCTTCCTCCCCAGGGTGCTGTTCTGTCCGTTTCAGCTCAAGCCCCAGTACCTCCCTGAAGGGGCAGCTTCCAGCCCTCACCCTCAGTACCTCTAGTCACGTTTGACCATGAATTCATTCTGGCCCCTTAGGAGTGCTGCCGGCTGCTCTATGAGGGATGAAGGAGGGACCTTCCTGGTCTGCGGAATAGTCTCCATCTGTAGGGAGGACCCCAGGCCTGGTTGTGCTAATAAAGTGAATGGGGCTATCCATGTGTCCCCTGTCATCACATGTACAGTGATATCTTCAAAACGCTCCTAGTCAAAGGGCTTCTTGGGCATGTCCAGCCCACCAATGCACAGTACTGGACCTGAGGCCTGCTTTTGCTGTGCTTCTAATTCTCTAGGTGACCCTGGCAAATGCTGTTCCCTCTGTGGCCTCCGTCTCCTCGGGTGTGAACTGAGAGGGTTGGCCCAGTGGTCTCCAAGGTCACTCCAGTGTGGTTTTCCCCCTGAGTGACTCTGACGGTGCCTCACCAGGGAATCTGGATTTTACAGAACAACGTACCTAACTCAAGGGGTGACTTTTTAATGCTGGCCCTTCAGGCATGGTGACAAAGCAAAGAGCATGCTTGCTAGTGGGAGAGTTTCTCGGGCAGTTCCCTCAAACTGCCCCGTGTTAGGGGCTTCTTCCTCTGCCTGCAGATGTGGCCGAGTATGGCCTCAGAGGCCTACAAGACCTGGGCCATGGGGAAAGTCAGAAAGTCAACTTTGGCCAGCAGAAGGCTTGAGTCTCCTGGGGAACTGTTACCTCAGATTTTCTAAAGCCACTCAAGCCCCAGAGATGGCCTCCTCCAGGCTGTCTCCTCCCTTGTTTTACTGTCTCCTTTCCCTCCACTGCCCCCCTTGCTTTGTTCTCATGCTCTTTTCTCCCCATTTCCCCATCTTCCAATCCCATCCATCTTCCAAGAATCTGATCAAGTTCTACTGACACCAAGCAGCCCGTCTTGACTTGTCCAGTCCATCTCAAGCCAACCTCACTTCTTGACCACACACAGCTGGCCCTTTGGTCATTCTCATGGCCATTTGTTAACTGCTTCTCAAGTACCCACTGTGTGCCAGGCCCTGTGGCCCGGGCCCTCCTCCTATGAGGTCTGCACGCTGGTGGTGCCTATGCCAACCCTTGTTACCAGGTTTGCTCTGGCTTCTTGGCGCCCTGGCACAGAGTACTCCCAGAATCCTCCACAGTTCCTTTCTCCTCCATCGCCCAGTCAAAAACCCCTTCCTCCTCTTCCAGTGTAGCAATTAGTTCCGACTCCCTTCCCCTCCTGGTTTCAGAGAGGAGATGGAAGGGAATGTAGGTGCAAAGGGGACATAAAGATAGGAGGGAGGAAACAGGGAGAGAAACTTGGGAGGCAGAAACTCTCAGCAACCTGTAGGCTCTGTACCTTCCCCACCTCCAACTCTTGCGCCAGGCTGAGAGGAGGTGTGAGTTCCAAGAAGCCTCTCCCCCACTCCCATCTCATCCCTCCCTATCCAGACCCAGGTCACCCTGCCTTCTCCCCCCCCTCCCCACTCCTCCCCCTGGTCCTGGCAGACGGTTATTGATGGAGACACCAGGGGACTGAAATGAATAGCGGTCAGAGGCCCCCATGACGTTGTCCCTCGTGCTGCTGCCTGCGTCTCTGGGGGCCTCTTTCCTCCTGTCCCTTCCCTGGCCTTGTCCTCTGCCTGTGCCTGCCTGCAACTGGGAGGCAGCCACTGTCTCACTGCATGCAGGCAAGCCAGCTAGGGACAAGGTCAGGGGCAGGTGTGGAGAGGGAGGAGAAGGAAGAACCAGAAGAGGAGGAAGGTGGAAGGAGGAGATGGTACAGGGAGGAGTAAGAAGAGGTGGGAGGAAGGGGACGAAGTGGAGGGGGAAGGAAGATGAGGTGGAGAAAATGACCACATTGTTATGACCCAGGATAACAAGGGAAGGATCCCAGGAAGAAGAAAGAAAGAACGAATCTGTTGCTTTTTTCCAGCTTCTAGGAATTTCTGCCACATTTTTGGGAGAGCTCACAGGCTCTGTCAATCAGAATCTTTGAGGGACCCCCCAGACTCCATGTGACCCTCCCTAACATCTCCACCCTTGACCTCACCTCCTTCAATTCTTCCTCTTGCTCACCCCCTTGCCTCCTTCCTGTTTCTCAGCCCTGCAGGGCACACTCTGCCTTAGGACTTTTGGAACCACATTTACCCCCCTATATGCATGGCTTGCTCCTTCACTCCCCTCAGGTTTCTGCTTAAATGTGACCTAGAGATGCCCTTTCTGACCTCCTTTCACACAATACCCTTCCCCAACACACACTTACTCTCTGACCCCTTGCCTTGTTTACTCTTCTCTTTGGCACTCCTCCCCACTGAGCTATTAACATTACATGTTTGTTCCTTGATTGTCAGTTTTCCCAACCTGCAAGGGAGTTCAGGGACTTGCTTTTGTCCTATTCCTGCTTCATTCTCAAGGCCCCACAGCAGGGCAGGATCTCAATACATATTTGTCAAGAGCATTGAATCCCCGCCTCTGGCAACTTTTGCAGGGCCAGTAGGAGGGGGGCAGGGAAGCAGTGCCGGACACTGAGGCATGCTGGCATTCCATAGTGGTGGGGGGACTAGGTTGCCCCTGAGAGGTGATAGGTGGTCCCTGCTGGGAGGCCTCCTGTCTCCAAGGCTTTCTGAGCCCATTTCCCCAGCGTCAGACCTTCTGGTTACTGTCACTCCCCTGCTTTCTCCCGTAAAGCCATCACTGATGCACGGTTCCAGACAGGAAGCTGTTTTCGGGGGATACCCTTACCAGCCAAGGGTCACTTACTGATTGTTCTCTGAACCCCATTGTCCTCATCTACAAACAGGGAGAGTAATCCCCCTCAAATAGGGAGACCTATTAGTCAAAGAGTACCAACAACCTCCGCAGCGCTGTCTAACTGTAGAGCACGGCATAAACATAAGCCCCCCTTTGGTGGTCAGGAGGTCAGAGGGCAGAGTCCTTCCTTCCGTCTCTCTGCACCTCTGCCAGGAGTGACCAGCCTTATAGAGGCTTATAGAGAGGAGCCCCCACCTGGCTCTTCTCAAGGGATCTCTCCAGCCAGTCCAATGCCACGTCTCACTATGGCTCTTTTTAAAGAAGCAGATATGGATAAACAGATATTAACCGCTGACTCCAGCTTGCATGAAGGGACTGTATCTGCTCCCTTGCTGAGGGCGGAGGCCTGGGGGGATGGCAGCTTGGCAGGGAGGGGGTGGCTTCAGGAGGACAATTTGCCATCACAGCGTCCTGCAGAGCACGGCGGGCACCCTGAGGTGGAGGCTGAGGTGGCGCTCAGGGTGGCCAGGGGAGAAGAGGGTGCCCAAGCCTCACCCACTGGACACGTGCCGGCCTCTCATGTGTAGGGAAAGGGGGTGGTACACACAGAACCCCCACTCAGAAAAGTTAGATTTGACTTCCTGTTGCTCATTGCTGTTCCTCACAGGAGTGGAGGGGGGGGGGCTCCCAGCTTTGAGGGTGGTGCAGGGGCCTTGGCTCAGCAGCCACCAAAGCTGTCATGCTCACTCTCCTGTGACTTGCTGAGGTATCCTCAGAAACACACCTGGTGAGGCCTCTTGGGAATTCACAGACTCTTCAGGAAATGGGATTCTCTGCCTACTGAGCCAACAGAGCATGGGAGAGGAGGCTAGACCAGGCTGTGAACCTTGAGAAGGGAACATCTTTCCCAGGGACGGGCTGTGGCCCAGCATTCCCTCCCTGACCTGGCCCTACAGGTGTTCTCCTATTTGTGCTCACAGAGAGAGCAAGAGTCCACTGTTCGGAATGGCACGGCAACTGAAAACCACCTAAAGGTCTCTCAGTGTTCAGGTGGTTTCGTGATTCAACTGGGGAATACTCTACAGCAGTTAAAAGGGTGGCATGATCCTAAATGGACCAGCGTGGGAAGACACAGTCAGATGGCAAAAGCAAGTTGCAAAATAGCACACATCACATATGCATAATGGAGACATATTCCATTAGTTTCATATGCACCGAAATCTGTATTTACCCCATGGCACAAAGTCTAGAAGGTGTCACACCAAGCTGAAAACAGGGAGTACGGGGGAAGGTGGGGCATGTCTCTCATAAGGTTAACTTTTTTTGGTTTGATCGACACATTGTGACACCAGAGTGTATTCATGCATCCTTGCACAATTAACTTTAAAGAAGATTTTTGCTGAAAGAGGATAGGGTGAAAATGGAGTAGGTGCAAATGGGTAGGCCAGACCCACAGTCCGTTTTGAGGGGACAAAGAGCATTGGGCATCAGCTTCCTGGCAAATTCTTCATGAGAGAAATTATCATTTAAGAGTCCAGCTATGTCCTGATCTCAAAGCTTCCTTCAAGCTCGGGAACCGAAGCAGATTCCCTCCCTCCAGCAAACTGTGATTGGTGTTCATCCTGGTCCTCTGGTCCTGAGTTCCAGCAGCTGAGGTTTGTGGGATAGAGTCCGTGATGGACAAAGCACAGAGCTTCGCCAACTCTGCCCTCCAGTTCTCCCATTCAGCCCAGTGACGCGGATGCAGTCTCTGAGGTGAGAAACGCAGAAGTGACTCG